GTTGTCAATCAACCGGCGAATGAGAAAGGCTGTTGTGTTTTAAGTGGCGACTGTTCAGGGAACTGAGAGCCTGCCGCGGAGCTGGGTTGTTGTCTTGGTTTTTCAGGGATAACGAAGCTGAGGTGACTTCTTCTATCTTACTTAGGTGAAACTAAGGTTACGCTTACATTGGGGTAATTTACTGACTAACTGACTTTAAAGAGAATGGCTACGCAGAGCAAGTCTAATGAGGTCAGGAAAGTTCACCAGAGGAGGGGAGGGGGAGCGGCTTTAACTTTTTAAACCCTTCACGTGCACAGAAAACTTTGCTACCAGGACTTCTGGTTTCTGTGCTGGCAGTTGAAGACCTTGGAAATCTTCACTCCATCAACACAGCAGGAGAAAAACTGAATGAGCCCCAAATCAGCAGCTCTTCTTAGACGTGTCAGAGCACTGGGGTCCCAGGCTGATCCACCTCCCAGAGAACTGGATAGGGGAAGACAGAGAGCGATGGTTCTCAAGCCTGCTGGAGCCAGTACTGGATTGAGGACTCTTAGTAATTGGCAAATTGCTAGAGGCTAAATGTAGGCTAAGTTGAGCCTTGAAAGTGCAGGGAAACTGAAGTTCAGTCTTACAGGAACATCCACATTTTTAAAAAAAATATTTCATTATTTGAAAGGCAAAAAAAAAAAAAAAAAAAAAAAAAAAAACACAGAAAGGGGAGAAAGAGAGAGACTGAGACTTCCACCCTCTGGTTCAAATGACCACAACAGCTGGTGCTGGGCAGGTTGGAGCTGGGAGGCAGGAACCCCTTCTGGGTCTCCCACATAGGTGACATGGGCCTAAGCAGTTGGGTGGTCTTCTGCTGTTTTCCGGGGCACATTGGCAGGGAGCTGCATCAGAAGTAGAGCAGCAGGAACATGAATGGGCAATCTGGTACCGGATGCTGTTGTCACAAGTTTTAGCGTCATCTACCTCACTACACCACCTGCCCTGGGCTTTCACATTTTAGTGAGTTTTGCTACCAGACATTCCATCAGGTTTTCAAGGTGAAGATAGGGAAAACATTTCCTCTTGCTCCTGGCATGAGGTAGGGGGAAAGTACCACTGGAAATACACTTGCAGCATTTTGTTCTCTGAAGCAAGAATGTGCCTTCAAGGCAGACTTTATCATTCCTTTATCTGAACTACAGAAAGTGCACTTAGACCATTGGAGACCCTTCTAGACTTTCTCACATTAGTGAGGTGGGGTGGGGGAAGAAGGTGAAGAGATTCTTGGGACCGTAGCCCAGGGATTCTTCTCTCCAAAAATTAAAGGTTCTATCATGATTATGGAATGCATCCCCTCCTCAATAGCTTAGGAAACATTATCAGTGCTCCAGCATCGTGGCAGTTCATTACAACCGATTGGCAAGACCTAGAGTCTGTTTAAGAACGAGTTTCTGTGGGGTGGGCATTGTGGTGTTGTGGGTTAAGTCACTGCTGGGGACGCCTGCATCTCATATCAGGGTGCCTGGTTAGAGTTCTGGGTACTCCACTCTTCTGATCCAGCTTCCTGCTAATGAGTGCGGAATGCGGTAGATTATGGCTGGCTTCCCAATGTCCCTCTTAGTAACTGACAGATCTAGCAATGCAGCGTTAGCCTAGGTAGACTGTGCTCTTGGCCCTATACATCTTACACTGGACGACAAAGCACATGAATTCCAATGTAAACCTGGACTTTAGTTAATAGTAATAAATCATAACTGGTTCATATTTATATTGGTTTATCATTTGAAACAAATATATTACACTATTTCCAGATGCTAATAATGAAGAACTTTGAGAGAGGAAAGAAGATGTATATGAAAACTCTGTCCTATTTGCTCAGTTTTTCTAAAAATGTCCTAATAAATAGTCCATAAAATGTTATTATCCTAAATCTGTGATTGCTTTACAGCAGGTGGGGACCTCGTGTGTCAGCTGGCTAGGATGCCCTGTGACACTGGGCATCCCATATGGGTGCCAATTTGAGTCCTGGATGCTCCACTTCTAATCAAGCTCCCTGTTAATGCACTTGGACATGCAGAACACAGCCCAAGTGATTGGTCTCTTGCCACCCACGTGGGAGCCCTGAATGGAGTTCTAGGCTCCTGACTTAGGCCTGGCCCCACCCCAACCATTGTTGCCATTTGGAGAGTGAACCAGGAGACAGAAAATCTCTCTCCCCCTCTGTAACTCTGCCTTTTAAATAAATAAATAAAATTTATTTTAGCAGTTAAACTATTTTCTTAACCTAGTATTGTGAAGCAAAACTAGCCCCACAAATTATCATATTTAAACAAATGATTCATTTATTGGCTTACTTATTAATATATATTTAATTTGCTTGATTATCTCTTTCAGCCATTCTCCATATATTACAGAAATACTTATAAGTAAGAAATCTGTAAAGTAATATTTTAATTTTTCTACAGGAAACTGTCGCTCCCTGTCTTCGTGGAGGAACGACACAGGACCCTGCGCTGTTCTTTTGTCTGCTCGGCCCTCCCCGGGTTTGCTGCTGGTTCTCTTCCCGGGTTGGCTACCGACCCTTCCACCTCCGTGGAAGGGCGGTTCCCCCTGCCACATTCCCCACTTCCGCGGGGGAGCGGCACACCGCCGGCCGGCTCTCTCGGGGGCTGCACAGGTGTTCCTTCAGATAGATGTTCCCCTTAGATGTTCCTGGTGCATGCCGTCTCTCTCCTCTTTTATAGTCCTTCCACCAATCCCAACTCGGCTGCCCACATGCCGAGTACGCTGCTCTCCTCCAATCAGGAGCAGGTCCTACAGTTTATTGGTTGAACTGGAGGCAGCTGTGTAGAAGCTGCTTCTCCCTTCTCAGCGCCATATTGTGGGAGAGCAGATGCATAGAATAAGTCTTAATTCCAGTAACTTAGTCTAGTCCGGGTTGCTCCCCACAGAAACGAAGTCAGTAATTTCACACTTGAACTCTGAAATCTAGTTAGTATTTTACAACCTTTTTGGAGTATATGCATGTGAAGGCTTTAAAAAAATCTAGGCTGTGTCCCCTCCTTCTCCTGGTTGCTAAATGGTCCTACGGTGGGAGCTCCTGGCCCTCACTCTCAGGATCTCTCCATGTAGTGAGAAGTTGTGAGTTGAACAAACAGTAACACCGCTGACTGATTAGAAAAGGCAATTATGCATGACTGTGTTAGGGACTCTTCCTTGGCTTTTTTAGAAGAGAAAAGGAATCCAGGTAACATGTAATTTTTCCCTTTTGGTATCCTGCCAGAATCTGTATAAATGACTTAATATAGGAAGAAAAAAGCAATGTTTTTGCTACATCAATTGATCCTGAGGCCATAGTTAATGTTGTTCATCTTTCTGCCCCACCAGTCATGCACAATTTCCCTCACTGTGAGTCTGCTGGAGTGAAGCCTGGAGCGATGCTGTAACTGTATACCTCTGGCTCTCACTGGACATGGAAGATTCCAGAGACGCACCAATTAATCTTCTTGTTTCCACAGGACAACCTCATGTCCTTGCAACCAAGGTGTTTTGGGCTCTCCATGGAGTCCCATGATTTACCCAATCATGGCAAATTTATAGAAACACATGGATATGGAGAATGAGGGTGGTTCTGTGAGTCTGATTCCTGGTTCACCACATGCTGTTTCCTCTGCACACATTCTGCCATCTACCACCCTCGGCACACACAAGACTGGTGGGGCTGGCCGATCTTGGACTGTGAACTATCTGTCTATCTATCTACCTATCTCCAAAACTGTGAGCTAAAATAAATCTTTTCCCTTCTAAGTTTGCTTTTCTCAGGTATTTTTGTTGTAGTAACAAAAAGATGAGTAATTCAGGTGTTCAGAAAAAAATGAAGATTAAAAAGGAGAGTGGACTCTGGGGAGTAGGAAATGTGCACTCCAAAACTGCACATTTTTGGAGTGTTCACCTCACTGACGGGGCGACATTTGAGCCTGCCTGGGAGCAGAAGGAGAGGGGATGGCCAGTTCAGAAGTTCTGAGGCATATTTGAGGGATGGCAGGGGGTCACTATAGCTGGAGCTGAGGTGGTAAAAGATGAAGTTACAAAGGCAGTGAGGGGTGAGCGAGGACTTTAGGGACCTTGTACGTCACCATGAGGACTTTAACTTCCTGTGACGGAAATGGGGAGCCGTTGAAGCATTTTGATCATGGGATATGTATTTGCCATCTATTGCTCCTATTGCTATGTGACAAATGTGGCCATCCACAGCGTAGTGGCTTTTTCAAAAAAAGATTATCTATCTATCTATCTATCTATCTAGAAGGGATAGTGACAGATAGAGGAAGAGAGAGAGAGAGAAAAGAGAGGGAGAGAGGGTGAGGGAGATGAGAAGTGGGGGTGAGAGAGAAAGAGAGAGAGAGAGAGATCGTCCATTTACTGGTTCACTTCCCAAATATGCCTGCATAGCCAGGTCTGGGCCAAACCAAGTCAGGAGCCCAGAGCTCCGTCCTGGTCTCCCACATGAATGGCAGGGGTCTACACCTTTTGGGCCATCCTCCACTGGTTTCTCAGGCACATCAGCAGGGAGCTGAATGAGAAACAAGCAACCAAGGCTCAAACTATCACTCAGATACAGAAGAAAGATTAACCTGCTATGGAACATTTCCCCCTCTCAAATATAGAGTCTTAAAAGAGCACTAAACATGGATTAGCTCTCACAGTTTCCATGGTTTCTGCATTTGGGAGTGCCTGGGTTGGAGTTCCTACTCAGGGTCTCGCATAAGGTTGCAGTCAGATGTGTCATATTACAACCACATCTAGACATGTGGTTGGGTCCCATGGATCCACATACAGATGGCTACTTACATGTGGGCACTTTGGTTCTAGCTGCTAAGGGAGACCTCAGTTGTTCACACAGGCCCCTCAAAGTGCTGCCTGAGGGTTATCACAACAAGATGCTGGCTTCCTGCAGGGTGAGCAATGTAAGAGAGTAGCAGTGTCATTGTCCTTTGTGACCCGGCCTCTGAGGTCTCACCCTGTGGCTCCTGCAGTATTCTATCAGACACACAGTTCTACCAGGAGACAGATGTGAGAGGAGACCGTGTCATGTGTGGATACCAGGAGGTAGGCATCACTGGGGGCCACTTTGAAGACTGACTCCAGGGAAGAGAAAGCAGAGAGTTGCTGGAACAATGTTCCTGAGTGGACGCAAGTAGATGAGATTGAGAGCAAAAGCAGGGGAAATGGCATTTTTTCTATGTATACAAAGAGATTACCGGACTGGCACCATGGCTCACTTGGTTAATCCTCTGCCTGTGGTGCCAGCATCCCATGTGGGCTCCGGGTTCTAGTCCCAGTTGTTCTTCTTCTGGTCCAGCTCTCTGCTGTGGCCCAGGAGGGCAGTGGAGGATGGCCCAGGTGCTTGGGCCCCTGCACCCACATGGGAGATCAGGAAGAGGCACCTGGTTCCTGGCTTCGGATTGGTGCAGCGCCGGCCGTAGCGGCCACTTGGGGGGTGAACCGGCGGAGGGAAGACCTTTGGACCTTTCTCTCTGTCTCTCTCTCTCACTGTCTGACTCTATCTGTCAAAAAAGAAAAAAAAGAGATTACCAATAGTGACAGTGTATGGATGCAGTTGGGGAGGTAGGGAGATGTGGTGGTGGTGGTTTGGGGGAGGCTTGTGCACATTCACTTCTAAATTTTCACTTTTTAGCAATGAAAGAGAAAATAAGATCCTAAGTGAGGAGTGAGGACTAGGAGAGAGGTGTTGGAGACTCATAGAATTTTAAGTTTTTCAGTATTTTTCAAGTGATTTTTGATCATTTCACTAATCCTTGCTTGGTCATATTACAAAGGAGGAAAAAAAAACTCTCTTTTTATCATTGATGTATTATGAGGTACAGCCTGAGTTTTAGTAAATTTATTTAAAAAAAAACCCCTCTGACTTTTTTCCATTATAATGACTTTTTGTTTTTGCTTTGTGATTTTTTTTTTCCTTTTTGGATTGATGAACTTAATAGGTTTATAGAATGGAAACTTTTATGCTATAAGCATCCTTGGTTTGCAAGTAGACTCAGTACTGCTAATGGAAGAAATTGGAATATACACACTGAAGGGTGCTTGAAGAAGATATTTTTTAAAATGTGACCTAGTATTGTCCTTACCCAGTCATTCTAATACCACCAGGGACAAAGTTGTAGGGTACCTAAGTCAGATTTGCTGACACCTTGCAACATATTTTATAGTACATCTGTACAACTGTGGGATGTCTTAAACAAAGGAAAAAGTCAAGTTATACAGGATTTTGTATATGAGTGGGGTTTAGGCACAATGCAAATGAAGTTGTGTTTGATGGGCTCATAGCGAAGTGTAAGCCTGTCAGTACAAATTGGGGGCTGTGAAGTGGACCTCGGGGCCTATTTTCTTGGAAACCAAACTGAGCTCGATGCCTAGTGCTGTGTTAGGGGACCTGCTATCTGAATTCCGCACCTGAGCTGCTTCTCCAGGTCACAACTAACGCCTCTGGAAAGAGTGGGGGGATTTTAAAATTTTAGCTCCTACATATGAAGGAGAACATGTGGTATTTGTCTTTCTGTGTCTAGTTTATTTCACTCAATGTGAGGTCCTCTAGTTCCATCCATTTTGCTGCAAGTGACAGCATTTCACTCTTTTTAAATATAGCTAAATGCTTAATATTCCACTGTGTATATGTGCCACATTTTCTATAGCTAATTTGATTTTTAATTCTGCATTTTATCTGATGCAGCATTTCAGCAGACCTCAGCATTCGTGTGTTCCACACTCAGGTTTGCCCATTGCCAAACGGAAGCCTTGCCAGTTACTTGCCCATTGTGACGTCTTCCTGTTCTTTCTTGTTCTAGCATCCTCTGGCTAACAAGCACTGCCATCAAAGTTGTGTGAGAAAGCCCTCCTGTTGCTATGACTGACAGGGCTTCTTATGGGGGAGGCACATCCCGTGTTCCCATACCTCCCACGCCAAGGGAGTAGGGCAAGTTTGGATTCTGTAAAAGCTTTTGAGGAAGTTTCTCATCACTTGGCGTCTTCTGGGCCTTGGAGTAGTTCTACTCAAGGTCTCTGTCAGCCAAGCTGCTTCTGTAAGCAATCCTTGAAACATAGTAACCAAGGCCGGCGCCGTGGCTCACTAGGCTAATCCTCCGCCTTTCGGCGCCGGCACACCGGGTTCTAGTCCCGGTCTGGGCGCCGGATTCTGTCCCGGTTGCCCCTCTTCCAGGCCAGCTCTCTGCTGTGGCCAGGGAGTGCAGTGGAGGATGGCCCAGGTGCTTGGGCCCTGCACCCCATGGGAGACCAGGAAAAGCACCTGGCTCCTGGCTCCTGCCATCGGATCAGCGCGGTGCGCCTGCCGCGGCGGCCATTGGAGGGTGAACCAGCGGCAAAGGAAGACCTTTCTCTCTGTCTCTCTCTCTCTCTCACTGTCCACTCTGCCTGTCAAAAAAAAAAAAAAAAAAAAAAAAAAAAAAAAAAAAAAAGGATAAGGAAAAAAAAAGAAACATAGTAATCAAACCAAAAGCAAGAGGAAAAAAGAAATGAGGTCAATATTCTCCAAGTCCTGATTCTATCTTGCACAAATGTCTGAATTGAATCACTTAACCTCAGGCTACAGGTCACCACAGTTTCATCAACAACAAAGCACTTGCCTTAAATTTATATAGTTAAAGAATTTGTCTGTTGGGGCTGCATTGTGGTGCATCGGGTTATGGGTTAAGCCACTACTTGTGATGCTGCCATCATGGTGCCTGTTCAAATCCCTACTGTTCGCTTCCAATCTGGCTTCCTGCTAATGTGCCTGCAAAGGCAGCAGAAGATGGTGCCAGTACTTGGGCCCCTGCCAGCAAGTAGGAGAACAGGATGGAATTCCTGGCTCCTGGCTTTGGCCTGGAACACCTGGCTACTGCAGCCATTTGAGGAGTGAATTGGTGGATGGAAGATTTTTCTGTCTCTCCTCTCTGTTTTGCTCTGTCTTCCAAATAAATAATTAAGAAATCTAAGTAAATGCAATCTTTTTTTAAAGAGCTCATTTGCTGATTTTTCTTTAAAAAAGGGAACAGCTTTTCCAAGTAAAGTCTTCATTTTTAGAGACCAAACAGTGCTCAAACTATTATATTTAAATAAAAGTTTTTACTCTTATGAGTACTTTTACTCATAAGGAATTTTAAAACTTTGAGTCCAGTCTCATGCGGTTTGTCCCATTGCACAGTCTCCCGAATGCCTTCCAGTGAACATCCATGGCCTGGCCTGTCTCGCTTGTGGGTCTGGCCATAGGACTTTGTTCAGTGATGTTCCCCACTCAGGGATCCACTGGGTGAGTCCACAGTCTCCCCATGGTGGAAGAACAGGTGTTGATGAGAGCGTCACTGTTGAGACCCAGCAAGGGCTCTAAGAAGGGAGGAGAGGTGAGTGAGATAGAAAGTTACTGCTGGAAAAGCCTTATAAAGGGTAGCTGTCTCCATGGACATAACAACAAAGAATGACAGATAACTGTGGAGGATCTAGCACGGGCAGACGCTGTGTGAAGAGCCTCGCACACATCACCTTGTTCAGTTCTTCAAACAGCCTGGTGCGTCATGTGTTCTTCTGAGCCCCATCTATGGAAGGGGACACTGACATTCCTGAGTGTCTTCCCAGGATCCACATGGCTAAGAAAAGGCAGCGTTAGTTCTAAAACGCGAATCTCTCTGAGCTCAGTGCTTGTTCATTATTGTTAGTATGCTTTCCAAAACATCGGCCTCATTCTGATGCTTAAATATGCCTGAAGTGCACATGCGCTTAGATATCTAAAGGAGATTTTAAACACCGTTCACGTGTCTGTGTACACATCACAGATCGTTACCTGCACACTCATACGTTCAAAAATTCTCTAAGCCTTTTTGCATTGCCAGTCAACTACACTTTCACTTTTTTTGTGCTTGATTTCTGAGTCCTCCCACTTTGGCTTGGTTCTTGCCATCCTTCTGCTTTTAAGGTCTATCTCCTGTCTTCAGAGTTAATGTCCTGACTTCTCCTGTTAGTCTCTCATGAAATATTAATCAATTTCATCAATCAAAATAACCAGTAAGGACCAGTTTTACAATAGTCAAATTAATTGCAAATAAGAGACCATATGTGCTTGAAAAGAAGTTGAACATAAGCTAGGAAAGTGATCTGGAAAGTTTGTTAGTGGAAACATAATGAAGACTTCCCCATGTGTGGGTCAAAAATGAAAAAAAAAATGAGAGGGAAAGAAACAAAGAATGGATAGATAGATAGATAGATAGACAGACAGGCAAACTCTCATCTGCTTGTTCATTTTCCAGTGTCCACAATAACTGGAGATGGGCTGGGGCTATAGGTTGGGGCCAAGAATACAATATAGGCCTCCCACATGGCTCTGAAGGACAAATTACTTGAACCATCATTGTTGCTCCCCAAGATCTCTCTTAGCAGGAAGCTAGAGTCAGGAGCCAGAACCAGGTATCAAACCCAGGCACTCTGTTGTGGGATCCAGACATCTTAATCACTAGGTTAAATATCTGCTCCATGGCACAAAAATTGGAAACAGGCAGCCAATCCAATGTGAGCATAAAGTTTACTTCCCTTAGATTTGACTACAGTTGATTTGCTCTTTCTCTCCACCTGCTGGTAGAAAAAGAATAAACAGTTTGCAGTTTGCACCCCCATAGAAACACAAAATGAAATATACTGTTTGAGTACTCGTTATAGCATTAAATCTCAATGTACAGCACATTAAGGACAGAGATCCTACATGAGGAGTAAGTGCATAGTGACTCCTGTTGTTGACTTTACAAATTGACACTCCTGTTTATGCAAACTGTTGAAATCTTTACTTAATGTATACTAAACTGTTCTTCTGTAAAAAAAAAAAAAAAAAGATATTATCAATTCCCAACTTGACTCTCACTGGGATTAAACATGACAATAGGTCTGATCTGATTTCATCATCATTTAAAAAATCATCTATTATTTTTCACTTTATGTTACTGTGTGGGAGCAAACTGTTGAAATCTTTACTTAATGTATACTAAACTGATCTTCTGTATATTAAGAGAATTGAAAATTAATCTTGATGTGAATGGAAGGGGAGAGGGAGTGGGAAAGGGGAAGGTTGTGGGTGGGAGGGAAGTTATGGGGGGGAAGCCATTGTAATCCATAAGCTGTACTTTGGAAATTTATATTCATTAAATAAAAGTTAAAAAATAAATTAAAAAAAAGAAAAAGAATAAACATGCACTTTGATACAAAGTTTAGTCTGAGCTGTTAAATACATGAATAAATCCTGATATGCCATCTCTTTTGGAAAAATAAAAACACAGTGTCAGCTTATCAAAAAGCCTCCTAATTATCTCCCTCAGATAGTGTCCTTGTGCGTGCAGGAAGGAGTGTGGCTTACAGGACATGAACATGAATGAGTCCGAGAACTAAGATGCTAGATACTCTAGTGTACGTGTCCTCTAGTTTCCAAGACAAGGTCCCATCTAATTTGTCTTTGCTGATGGCATTCCTGGTCAAAGTGTAACTCTTGGCTTTTGCTCCCAACACTCTATGGAAACTCAAAATCACCCATGGCAACTGCAGTACTAAATCCACTGGCCAATTCTCTGTCATCATTTATGTGACCCTTTAGCAGCATCTATCAGCAGCTGATTTTCCCTTCTCCGTGATATTTTTATTCAGATGTCTTACAGAACACCTCTTCCTTTTATACTCTAAATGATCTTTCACCAGTCTCCTTGGTTGGTTCCTCTTTTTATTTCTGGCACTTTTATTTCTGAGTTTCTACATTGATCTTCTAAAATCTAGTCCTATATTTCATTTTTAAAAAAATATTTATTTATTTATTTTGAAAGACAGAGGTATAGGGAGAGAGGGAGAGACAGAGAGAGGGATCTTCCATCTGCTAGTTTACTTCTGAGATGGCCACAGTGGCTAGGGCTAGGCCAGGTGGAAGCCAGGAGCCAGGAGCTTCATCTGGGTCTCCCATGTGGGTGCAGGGGCCTAAGGACTTGGCCCGCCCTCTGCTGCTTTTCCTAGGCCAATGGCTGGGAGCTGGATCAGAAGTAGAGCAGTCGGGGCATGAACTGGCACCCACATGGGATGTCGGTGTCAAAGGTGGCGGCTTTCCCCTCTGTGCCAGAGCTCCGGCCCCTAGTCCTATATTTCCAGTACTTCACTCAATACCTCCACTTGGTTGTCTGAGACAATTCAGACTTACCCTGAACCTGCCCTATGCATAATCTTCTTCCCATGTAATGACAACTGGGTTTTCACTTTCTCAGACCCAATATTGTTGGAGTCCTGAGCCTCTGCTACTCCACAGCCTCATCTGTTGCCCAATAGGGGAGAAACATACATCAAGAGTTTCTGCTCCCAAGGGCCTCCCTCTGTGATTCACTCTCTTTTCTCTCAATCTACAGTGTCCAGTCAAATGTAGTGCATGGCCATCTTAAATTACGCAAAGCTGTTCCAAAAACTAGAAATTTATGTAATCTTGGGGTGAATTGTATATGAATTCAAAGTATACATTCTGTTATTAAATTTTTCATCAAATTTAGTTAAATGTACCAATTATATCTTAAAGGCTTGAGTAAGAATTTTAACTTTCCACATTCTTTTTGTCTCTTTTTGGCTCTTCACAGGTGTCTCAAATCAGCACGAAAGCATTGTCATTTTTGTGCATGGAACTGCCTCACTGGCCCTATTTGATTGGTCCAGGAATGTCAAACCGGCTCAAGATAAGCTATTTAACCCCAGTGACAGTTGATTGATCCATAATGTGACACAGGTAGATCAATTATAACCATTTCTTTGAATACTTGAACTTGGAACCACTAGGAGTAAAAAGGGGCTCCTCTTTGGGAATAAAAGTTATGAGAAATGAAGCTGAGGAGCTGCTCATAGCCACATTTTCAGCTGTGTGAAGGGAGGCGTTCTGCAGTGAAGAGTGAAAGCAACATCCAGAGAGTCCAGTGTAAGGAAAGGACAGGCCCTGTGACAGTCTGGTTCTTGCATCTGATCTGTCCTGGGGCCCAGCAGGTCTGCCTTTAGCAGGTATTAATGAAGAACCTTGACTTTATGTACTGTAGACTCCATTGCTAACTAGCCTTAATGGAGAAATGAACTCAATTTCTTACATGGTTGGAAGGAGGGCAAAGCAGCTAATGCAATCAAAGATAGAGACGCAGTTATCAGGCCCTTGTTTATGCCTGAAACTGACACTTCAGAACGGCTAGTTTTCTCTTTTTATTCATCTCCCATTTCTGCTTGTCTTAGCTTTTGAGTTAGTCTTAACTGGACTTCATCCTGTTAGGCTTTTTCTAGGGTGCTGAGAAAGATGGCTGCAGGGTGCTCCAGTCTTCCTTCTAAAGCAGTGTTGCCAAACACAAAAGCTCTCAGGGGAAAGTCTCTGTTAACTGTAATGGAAAAGTCTAGTGAAACTACTGGTTGGCATAGCTTGGTTTTCATGATCACCTGTGAGCCAATCACTTAGCTAAAACCATGGGATGCTTTGGCGTGACCCAACTCCTGTTCTATGTCTGTGGGCCTATCAGATAGAATTGTACACAACACAGGAGAAGCAGAGTATTGTTACCACAAAGGATAGTTTAATGCATCTTCTTTTGTCTGTCTTTCCTCCCTCCCCTCCCCTCCCCTCCCCTCCCCTCCCCTCCCCTCCCCTCCCCTTCCCTTCCCTTCCCTTCCCTTCCCTTTCTTGGTTTCCATAGAGCATTAAAAGTCTTTTCTTTTTTGTCTAACCCAGTTATTTAACTGCATTTGCAATCAACAGTTCTGATGAACACACACTTTGCTGTCTCTCTTTCTTCTTAGATTGCTATCTCTCTCCCTAAATGACATTATTACTGAATCATCCTAGTTAAAAATGTGGGTGGAATTTCTCAATTTCTCCTCATCTCTTCCTCCCCATAGTAAAAAATTTGGGGACCTTTTCTCAATTTCTGCCTATTTCTTCCTTCCTATATTCAATCAAATAGCCAAATTTATTTATTTGAAAGGAAGAGTTACATAGAGAGGGAGGAGATACCCCCCCCACACACAGATCTTCCATCTGCTGGTTCACTCCCTAAATGGCTGCAACAGCCAGTGCTGGGCCAGGCTGAAACTGGGAGCTGAGGGCTTCATTCAGGTCTCCCATGTGTGTGCAGGAACCCAAGCACTTGGGCCACCCTTTGCTTCTTTCCCAGACACATTAACAGGGAATCAGATCAGAAGCGGAGCAGCCAGGACACAAACTCGCACCCACATGGGATGCCAGCATCAGAAGCAATGGTTTTACCCAGTACACCATGATGCTGGCCCCCTAAAGTATTCTAAGATCTACTTCACTCTCCCATCTCTGTTGTTCCAGACATTGCTCATGCCCTCGTTACCTTTTGGTTAATATGCCTCCTCAATTTTCTTTCACTTTTGCTTCTTTGCATTCTGTTTTCCAGTCTACTCTAGATAAATGGTCCTGTAATTTCCATGAATAATATTTGCTCTCGGCATCTACTGCCTTTGGAATAAAGTGAGAAATTTCTCGGTGGTACATAAAGACCCTCTGTGAACTCTTGCTGAGGATGACTCACGTGCTTCTTGATGTTTGCATCCCAGCATCAGCTCTAACCTATGCATCACATTTACTTTCCTGCTGAGTCGTCTTTCAGTCAGTGCTATGCTGACTCTGAACTTTAACTCCATAATTAGATGTTCTTTGTGTGCTCTTTGAACTCCTTGCTATCTTAACAACTTCTGCCTTTTAGTATGCACGAGGTTCTCAAGCTTTATTATATATGAGTCACTCGGGAACTTTCAAGAAGCAGATATTTCCTTGACCCATCCCAGACATCCTGTAGCAGGAAGAACTTTTTGAATGGCCTCCCTGAGATTCAGAAGCAATCATTTGGCAGGCATGGTGCATGCGTGTCTCTGCTACCGCCTGGTACTAGAGTTCTCTGATGCTCTTTCCTTCACAGATTGGATTTCTTTCTCTTCCTACTCCTGAGGGTTCTGATTGGGTGACCTGAATTTGAAGTCTCTGCATGTTTATATCATAGTCATTTTTGCACCAGATCCTGGTGCCATCAACACACAACCAGCCATGTCAACCCCTTCCCTCTCCCATAATTATGCAGCAGCCCCTCTGCTATGCCAATTCTTTGAATTTATTCTATATGTTCTTACTTAATCATATATAATTACTGTATAGTTCAAGCCTAAATTATTTTTTCTAATTACTTTGGTGATGTCTCCTATCTTCTCACTGGGGAGCCCTGAACTACCATCACTAGATGATCCCTAGCACTTTAAAATGATTGTAAAGGCTGAGCCGGGTTGTGCATCTCTTCCAAACTTCATATTGGAAATTGGCTGTGCTATGAATATACACACCACAACAATCAGAAAGTATTCAGCAAATGTCACATTTTTTTCCTTGAAGATTTGTTGTTAGCATTTACCAGCACATTGCTGATTCCAGCAGAAGACCAACCTGTGGGAACACAGACCCCAGCCTGGAATCATGCCCAACACCATAATGATTTCTTGAGATATTATGGATGTGTTTAAATAATTGGTCAGACCTAGACCCAAACTCTTAGAGTCTGTCTTGTCTATATTCTTTCTCTCATACTGCATATTTGAACTGTCAAGGGAGTACTTTTCTTAGACTTGTGAAGTACACACCTGCAGCTGATTTCACACAATCCTCTACTCTGACCACCATGAATCAAACCTCCATTGTGTCAGTTGCAATTATTTTGATGGCCTGCAGAGGTTTCCCAGTGTTCACTCGTGCCCCCTCTGTAGTCTGTTCCTAATATAACTGTAGTGATCATGTCTCATCATTTTTAGAAATGTATGTATTACACAACTGGAAACACTCCAAGGGCTATTTCCTTAACAGTAAGACCCTAAGTCCTTTTATTATTTTTTTGTTGGACATGTGGTCAGTTTTATCTTTTTAACTTTTATTTAATAAATATAAATTTCCAAAGTAAAACTTTTGAATTATAGCAGCTTTTCCCCCCATAACCTCCCTCCCACCCATAACCATCCCATCTCCCACTCTCTGTCCCATCCCATTCTTCATCATGATTCATTTTCAATTATCTTTATATACAGAAGATTAACTTAGTATACACTAAGTAAAGATTTCAACAGTTTGCACCCACACTGAAACACAAAGTATAGAGTAATATTTGAGTAGTAGTTTTACAGTTAATTCGCATAGTACAACATATTAAGGACAGAGATCCTACCTGGGGAGCAGGTGCAGAGTGACTCCCAATGTTGATTTAACAATTGACACTCCTATTTATGACGTCAGTAATCACCCGAGACTCTTATCAGGAGCTGCCAAGCCTATGGAAGCCTCTTGAGTTCACCAATTCTGATCTTATTTAGACAAGGTCATAGTCAAAGTGGAAGTTCTCTCCTCCCTTCAGAGAAAGATACTGTAGCCTTCTTTGATGGCCCGTTCTTTCCACTGGGATCTCACTCACAGAGATCTTCATTCAGGTCTTGTCTTATCTTGTTTTTTCTTTTCTTTTCTTTTTTTTTTTTTTTTTTTGCCACAATGTCTTGGCTTTCCATGCTTGTGAAACTCTCATGGGCTTTTTAGCCAGATCCGAGTGCTTAAGGGCTGATTCTGAGGCCAGAGTGCTGTTTAGGGCTTTTGCCATTCTATGAGTCTGCTGTGTATCCTGCTTCCCATGTAGAATCATTCTCTCCTTTATAGTTCTATCAATTATTTGCAGACACTGGTCTTATGTATATAATCCCTTTAGCACTTAATCCTATCTTTCTGATCAATTATGAACTTAAACAGATCACATTAACAAGTAAGATGGCATTGGTACATGCCACTTTGATGGACTGAATTGGAATCCCCTGGTACGTTTCTAACTCTACCATTAGGGGTAAGTCTGAGTAAGCATGTGGCAAACTGTACATCTCCTCCCTCTCTTATTCCCACTCTTATATTTAACAGGATCACGTTCAGTTAAATTTAAACACCTAAAATTAATTGTGTGTTAATTAAATTGTTCAACCTATAGAATTAAGTAGAAAAAAAAAAAAACAGTGGGGCCAGCGCCATGGCTTATTTGGTTAATCCTCCGCCTGGGGCGCCAGCATCCCATATGGGCACTGGGTTCTAGTCATGGTTGCTCCTCTTCCAGTCCAGCTCTCTGCTGTGGCCTGGGATAGCAGTAGAGGATGGCCCAGGGGCTTGGGGCTCTGCACCCACATGGAAGACCTGGAAGAAGCACTTGGCTCCTGGCTTTGGATCACTGCAATGCTGGCCGTAGTGGCCATTTGGGGAGTGAACCAACAGAAGGAAGACCTTTCTCTCTGTCTCCCTCTTACTGTCTTTAACTCTACCCGTCAAGTAAATAAAAAAAACACTTTAAAGGAATAAAATAGTAAGTTGTTCCTCGACAGTCAGCACAAGGGCTGATCAGGTCATTGTTTCTCACAGTGTCCATTACATTTCAACAGGTTTCCTTTTAAGTGCTCAGGTAGTTGTCATCAATCAGGGAGAACATATGACATTTGTCCCTCTGGGACTGGCTTATTTCACTCAGCATGATGTTTTCCAGTTACCTGCATTTTGTTGCAAATGAACAGATTTCATTTTTTTTTTACTGCTATATACTCTATAGAGTACATATCCCATAATTTCTTTATCCAGTCTACTGTTGATGAGCATTTAGGTTGATTCCAGGTTTTAGCTATTGTGAATTGAGCTACAATAAACATTGAGGTGCAGACAGCTCTTTTATTTGCCAATTTAATTTCCTTTGGGTAAATTCCAAGGAGTGGGATGGCTGGGTTGTATGGTAGGGCTATATTCAGCTTTCTGAGGAATCTCCAAACTGACTTC